GCCTTAGCCGGTTGAGCTACAGGCGCCGAGCCAACAACAGAGTTTTTTAAAGTTTGATAACACACTGTATTGGCAAAGGTATAAGAAAACAGGCACCCCCTACATATTACTATTGAAGTATAAATTGGTAAAATCTACATGGTGAGGATTTTGGTAACATGTACCACAATCATGAGAGCACAGACCCCTGAATTCATAAATGCCTTTCAAGGACTGTATCCCACAGGTAGACTCATATTTTGACAAGGTGAGATATGTTTAAGTTATTTGCTGAAGTAGCCAGAGATCAGGAAGAAACTTTATGTCCATCAGCAGGAGACTGATGAACTAAATTACAGGCCATTCAACCAAAAGAATACCATGCAGTTATAAAAAAATATGATCTCTAAGATACAGTGTTAAATGGAAGACGTGGTGTAAAACAGAGTATAGAGTTGGCAACTCTGTGTATGAAGGAAAAATGGGAAAAAAAGGAAAGAAAAAACATGTGCAGTTGCTTACTAGGCATAGAATATTCCTGAGACGGCACTCAGAAAACTGGTCAGGTGTGGCCTCTGCATTGCTGAGGAATTGGGACAAAAGGGAGCATTTTGTTGCTTATCTTTTATATACATATTTTTTGAATTTCTAATCATGTTAATTCATTTATTTGGAACGATGAATAAATTTTAAAACAAACATCAAACAACCAATAAACAAAATACACAAGGGATGCACAGGGGAAAACCTCCCCTCATTCCTTCACTGCTCCCCAAAGAGTCATGCTGCTACCTTCTTCCTTTCTATGGAGATCACAGATGAGGGGGACATCCAGGGGAGACCAGCCCCAATTTCTTGAACTCTTGACAAGGCTCTGAAAAGGCCTGGGCTATCCTAAGAAAACAGAGAACCTGGCCTATGTTGGGCCTTGCAGACCCAACCTGCCCCACATGGTAGAGGGGTGGAGTGGGGGAGGAGGACCTGAGAGAGACTGAAGAACCAAGGGAAGATCTTTGAGACAACTTAGACATTGTTGGTAGATGTGCTTCTCAGACTACATGTTTGAACAAGCAATGCTCAGGTACTGTGATGGGAATACTCATGCTGTCTGCTTTGAGAGAAAGAGATCATAAAATAATCAAATGACATCACACTACAGAATGCAAAATTATGCACCTACACAGAAATCACTAAGGCTGGGATGAGGGATAGGAGTAGACATTTGGGTTCTACTAAGGCACAAAGGCAAATTCAATCATGAAAGCTAAAGCCATGACCAATCATAAGGAGGAGAATATGTGTATGTATACACACACACACAAGGTTTGGCAATTAAATTTACAAACTTGCCACCATGTGCTTACACTGGCAGCATCATACAAACAACTCAGTAAGGTTTCACTACCTTGGTACATAAGTGTTTCATAAGTGTGATGGCAGCAAGACTATCTTGTTGAGTGGTATTCATTATTTTTGTTGTTTGTTTTTGTGTGCCATCACAAGAATGTCGGAGCTTAGAGCAACAAACAAACATTCATTAATTTCTTGTTAAACTTGGCAAGAGTAGAAGTGAAATCAGAGACATGTTAGTCCAAGTTTATGGGGATAATGCCATGAAGACAATGGCAACGTACAAATAAATTAAACATTTTTCTGAGGGGAGAGAAAGCACCAATGATGAAGAGAGGTCAACAGGAAAATCCTGGCCAACAATTCATGGCTCTTGCATGACAACTATGCACCAGACACAGCACTGTCTGTGAGGGAGCTTACAGATAGTAAACACATAACTGTATTGGAATACTCTCCCTACTCACCTGATATGGCCCCTAATGGCTTTTGTGAAATATTGAAAGGAAGACATTTTGATGACATTCAGAACATCAGTGTAATACAACAGCTTTGATGGCCATTCCAGAAAAAACAATTCCAAAATGGCTTTTAAGGGTGGACTAGGTGCTGGTGTCAGTGCATTACTTCCCAAGGGGAGTACTTTGAAGGTGACCCTAGTGATATCCAGCAATAAGGTACGTAGCACGTTTTCAAGGATGAGTTAACAAACTTGTCAGACCTCATGAGTATATGTGTGTTGTGTGTATGTGTGTCCACGTCTAATTACCTACCTCCACTAATATGGCATACCCTGGGGCCAGCTCAAACACTGAAGGCAGTATTCCAAAGGGAAGTTGTTCAACAAAGCCAACAATTGCAACAGCCTTAAAGAAAAGCAGATTATACAATGGTGTTAAAGAAATTATAATCTATGGCCATACCACCCTGAGCCCGCCCAATCTCATTTCATCCAAAAGCTAAGCAGGGTCAGACCTGGTTGGTACTTGGATAGGAGATCCCTTGGGAATACCAAGGCTTGGGCTGGGCACAGTGGCTCATGCTTATGCTAGCACTCTGGGAGGCCAAAGCAGGTGGATTACCTGAGCTCATTCATGGGTTCAAGACCAGTGTGAGCAAGTGCAAAACCCTGTCTCTAAAAAATAGCCAGACATTGTGGTAGGTACCTGCAGTCCCAGCCACTTGGAAGGCTGAGGCAAGAGAATCACTTGAGCCCAAGAGTTTGAGCTAAGATGCTATAGCACTCTACTGAGGGCAACAAAGTAAGACTCTATCTCAAAAAAAAAAAAAAAAAAAAGGAAAAAGAAATTGTAAAATCCAGTGCTCAGATTATAAACCTCTCTCATCCAAACATCCATTTTGCAATTTGAAGGTTCTTAAGGCTCATCCAGCCCCATATTAATAAAGAAACTGAGGCTCATTTGTTCAGCAAGATTTATTCAACCATCATCAGTACTTTGGATGTTTGTCCCCTCCAAAGTTGGTTGAAATTTGATCCTCAATATTGGAGGTGGGGTGTGTTTGGGTGACATAGGCAGATCCCTCATGAAGAGAATAATACCCTCCCTTGGAGGTGAGTGAGTTCTCACTCTATTAGTTTACCCCAACAGCTGTGCATTAAAAAGAGCCTTCTCCCCCCACTTGCCATATCATCTCTGCAGACACCAGCCCCCTTTTGCTTTCCGCCATGAGTGGAAACAGCCTGAGGCCCCACCAGATGCAGATGCAGGTGCCGTGCTTCTTGTATAGCCCACAAAACTGTAAGCCTTATTCTTTATAAATTTCCCAGCCATGCATATTCCTTTATAGCAGGGGTCCTCAAACTTTTAAAACAGGGGGCCAGTTCACTGTCCCTCAGACCGTTGGAGGGCTGCACTGCAGGCCCTAGGATGAGTCAGCTGCTAAGCAGGATAGGCAGCGGTGGCAAAAACACCCGGTGGGCCGGATAAATGTCCTAGGTAGGCTGCATGTGGCCCACGGGCCATAGTTTGAGGACGCCTACTTTATAGCAACATAAAATGCACTAAGGCAATCAGACACCAAGCACCAAATGAGGTTCTGAAGGTTAAAGACGAGTCATGGAACATCCATAAAGATCTGACAGCTGGCAGGAAGGACAAGGAATATTGCCAAGTACATAGGACACAGAGTATGAAGTGTGTGAGAAGACCTGACCCAGGAGGTGGGCTGACATAGCCCTGCCCCGGGCTCCCAAAGCATGCTGTCCTTTTTCTATTATAGCACCCTGTGTTGTCCATTCCCCACCCTCTCATGGCTACAAGCCCCTGAGTCATGAGAGCAGGTGCCATCTCATTAGCTGAGCTGCAAAGCTATGCATGCCAGGGACACAAACCCATGCCTACAAGACCCTGGTAGGTAACAGAAATGAATGATATGTCTTCTTCGGAACATGTAGTTCTATCACTTGTTTTCTGGATATGTAGGTACATAGAAATATCTCTACCATAAGAACAATAACAGTATGAGCATGATGATGGGTCATGTCAGTGCTGGGGATGCTCTGGGTTTGGGGCTGGGGATGGGCAAACTGAATAGCGTATACAGGCCCTGCCTCCCAACCTTGGCCACAAGGGTCGCAGTGAATTTTGGTCCAGACCTGCACATCTTCGAATTTTCCAAAGAGATTAAAAATGAAGATTTTTATGTAAAGACTCCCTGTTTTTAAATATTGGCTCAAAAAATATTTTGAAACACTGCTGAATGAATATCAGCAGAATTCACCCAAAGAGAGGTCAACTGTGTGGCCTTGTATGCTGCTACAAAGGGGACTCTGAATAGGCCTTGCTGTCTGGTATATTCAGACATTTGCTACAATAAGAATGGACTGAATGAGTGAATACTGCAACATTTGAGGGAGGACTTGCAGGGTCAGAAAGGTAATACAATTTGCCCAGGGTTGTGCAGGAATTAGTGACAACCAGAACTGCAGCACTGGTCCCTGCACACATTCACTCTCATTTAAGTTATAGCAGTTGCACACAGAGGTCACAACATTCTGTTTTCTGTGTGTTTGCAATCATAGGGACACCCTAGCAAGTCCTGTAAGTCCCTCTAGGTGTTATTACCTTTGATGGATTTGCTCTTTTTCCAGTTAGCAATTTGTGATCACTCACCCTGAAACTTGATGGCGGCCAGCTCTTTTTGGGCATAATGCAGAACCTGCCAACACTGAAGCCCACATTTTTGCAGATGAATCTGGTCAGTTTTACTCCCCCAACAAGGCAGTAACCACAGTCCAACACTGGTGACACTGTAGCCACAGGAAAAGATGTAGGAGAAACAACAGGAAATTCTGAATAGGTCTTGCAGTCATGGTTCTCCTAAGGTGCAGCCAGAGCTCATGGCAGCTATGGAAGGACCAGCCTAGTACCCTGAGCAGAGAGAATGAGTGGGGACATGCTCTGACTGCTGTACCCACCTGGGCTCCACCCAGGCTGCTGCTAGGCCACATAGCTAGAGTCAGCAGGAGTCAGCACCCTCTGTGAATTCATGCCTCAGCCAGGGCCATCCAGCATGACCCTCAGGCTATGGCAAAAGTGAGGTGAGAGGTAGTCAGAGATCCAACCTCCAACCTGTGCCCAGCTGAAGAAGCTTGTAACTGAAGAAGCCCAGCTGAAGCCAGTTTTTAAAGGAAGCCCACATCTATAACCACAGGAGGGCTCCTCAGGGTACCTAGGCACTTCCTTGCCTGGTGTGACATGGGTCCACTCAGGGGCGTCTATGAGCCAGCAAAACCTATGCTGGTTAGAGGGACTGCCGGCCTCCTTCCCTGCTGTAAGTCAACCTCCACTAGGAATGCCCAAAAGCAAGCAGGACAGTAAAGGTCTGGCACCATGAAGACTGCAGAAGCTGCTAGCACTTCATCCTCAGGACCCAGGACCCTGCCCAAGAGGACCCAACTGTGTGCTGCTACCACGGGGACCTGAGAGGCAGGCAGTCCTTAGGTGTCTCTTCAACCCTACCTGAAGCCATGGGAAGGTATAGCACATACTCACATGTCAGCACCGGGGGTGGCCTCCGGGCCTGCAGGGGGATCAGGAGTGTGTGGGCTGCCTGCGTCTCAACTAAAATAAAATCATCAAAATCCCCAAGGCAGTCGGGAAGAAACTGGACAATGTACTGGCAGGTCATTCCAGGAGCCACCATTCCACCTTTTCCTGGGAACATCCCTGTGCATGACAAAAACCTCAGATGAGGATGAGGACCAGCCAACAGGGTGTGGGCTCAGTTGCTGCAGACACCAACCACAGCTGCGGCTGGCTCTATGAGTAAATGCCTTCTGGGTCAAGGCCATGCAAATGGCAGAACCACCAGTGTACACAAGGAGAGCAGGATGAGAAGGCAGGGACTCCAGGTAAAATGCCAGGGTCCCAGGGATGGGGGGCGAGGTGAAATGGTCTGTCTGGAATAGTTAGGTAGGACCTATGACTTAGAACTTATTCCAGGGTAGCAAAGAACCTTTGAGATTTTTGAGCAGGGGTGACATGATCACAGTTGTTTTTGAGACAAAGTGTGACACTGCAGCAGGAAAGCTAGCTCGGAGGCCGCTGTAGGGGTGTGAGTGAGGACTGAGGAGGGCCTGACCAAGGGCAGTGGTAGCACAAGGGCTGGGGAGATGTGCCTGGTGAGCAGGAGAAAGGAGCTGGCAACACACCAAGACCTCACTGACAGCCGAGTGCAAGGGGCCTCAGGACTACCGGGGGAGACTCAGGAACGAGCCATTGGCTGGGTTGTGTGAATCAGCTGAGTGTCAGGAGGGTCAGTGATCAGCAGAAAGCCCAGCAAATAATTTTGTGGTAGTCTATACAACTACTGTACTGAACTTACCCAATCCCAGGGCGAAGTGTGGAGTAGAAGGTGGGAGGACCCGCAGGTAGCGGCTGGTCGAGGTGGTGTTCTGCAGTGCAATCACCATCTGCTCAGGGGCAAAGGTGATCTCTTTTAGACAGAGACATTTGAGGACAGAACATGATGTCTGGGATTTATTGTAAGTAATATGGGAAGAGGGTAGGCGTATAAATAAGCCTGGCCATGTGCTGACAACTGGTGGGCACTTGGGGACTCATTATGCCATTCTATCTACTTTTGCCTATGTCAGAAAGTTTCCTTAGTAAAAAATAAAATACAAGGTAAAAATGAAGGCAGGAATAGATCTGACCTATTCTCTGTACTGCTGTTAAATAACCACTACTTTATACTGAGCACCTGCCCTGTGCCTCCTCCACCTCATAACCTCCAAAAAAGGTAGGAACTGTCTCAGCAGTTTCTTGCTATTTCACAGCAAAAGAAACCAAAATTCAAAGAGGCACTTTAGCTGGTGAGCCAGAGTACTGAGATTTGAGCCCAGGATGTCTGGCTCCTAAGTTTTGTCCATGTTGCCTCTTACCGACTGTCTTCTTCCCCACACAACCCTCTGAGCCCTTCTGCCCATTGGCTGGGTCTAGGGGTGTTACAAGCACCTGGACACCAGGGTCACATCTGGGACTGTCTCCCACCGGGTGTCTGTCTCCCCTTTCCCTTCCCCCCAGCCCAGTCTGGGAGACACCTAACGGGATAGCTGGGACCAGCACGGCGCTCAGCACAGACAGGAGCTCAATACATGTATATATCTTTTGCTAATATTTTGTGAAAATTTATACTAGAAAAAATACATAAATGATAACATGACAAAAGCCATGTTTCCATCACCCAACTTAAGAAATAAAACATTACAATAAAGTTGAAGTCTTCTGCCAGCCTGCCACCATGTAAAAATCTATGTATGTCTTCAAGCTTTCATTCATATGTATTCCTAAATCAGCATTTAAGTCCACTTTTGGCCAGTGTAACGTATTGCATCAATCCATCTGTCGACAAGGCCCATCTTATGGTTTTAATGTTCATTTTTCCATTATTAATGACGCTGAACACCTTTTCATACGTTTATTTGCCATTCGGGTTTCCTCTTCTATGAGCTGTCTATTACATTTGCCATTGTGTAGTTTATCTTTCTCCTGTTTACTTGTAGGCGTTCCCCATATGTTCTGCATAGTAATTCTTTATAAAGTATAGTTATAAACATCTCTATGTTTGTAAATTTGTATTGTCTTTTGAGATAGCCTCAAAAACTTTTTTTTTTTTTTTTTGAGACAGAGCCTCAAGCTGTCCCCCTGGGTAGAGTGCCGTGGCATTACAGCTCACAGCAACCTCCAACTCCTGGGCTCAAGCGAGTCTCTTGCCTCCGCCTCCCAAGTAGCTGGGACCGCAGGCGCCCGCCACAACGCCCGGCTATTTTTTTTTGGTTGCAGCCGTCATTGTTGTTTGGCGGGTCCGGGCTGGGGATTCGAACCCGCCACCTTAGGTGTACGTGGCTGACGCCTTAGCCGGTTGAGCTATAGGCGCCGAGCCTCAAAAACTTTAATATACAATTTACCAGTCTTTTATGGCTGGTGCTTCAGTTTTAAGAAATCCTCCCATCCCTCATGTATTTTCTTCTAAAAATGTTGCTTTTATTTGCCTTGAGATCTTTGCTGGAAATTGTTTTATTTGGGGTGCAGAGTAAGGTGGAGATTAAGTTATTTTCCATATGGAGAGGATTCTAAAGTCAGTTTTGTATCCTCAGTTCTGTACATATGCAGTGCTAACAAGACTATGTGTGGTGCCTTTGGTCCTAGAGCTCCTTGCAGCCACCATTGTCATTACAGATCAAGATGCTCCCAGCAGCAACTGCTCATCATGTCAGCTGAGGCAGCCTCAAGAGAGCTCTGCTCCACCCACACAAGGCAAACCTCCAACCAATGAAAGGCAGGAGCCAGCAGTCTGTACGACTTCTTAGATGTCCCACAAGATGAAATAATCATTTGCACTTAATATGTCCTCACATTGGCCTTCCCTCCTTCCTTCCCCCTTTCCACCTCCCCGCTGGGATCATAAATGCTAGCACCAGTCTCATCTCCTCAGGGTCTGCTTTACAGGAAAACTAAGCTGTGACAGTTGGCATCAGAAAGGTCCTAAAACAGCAGACACTTGGGATGCGACCCTGGAACTGACTTGCTCACCAACATGGGGGCTGTCAGAACTCTAGCTGGGGAGAAGCCGGGCGTGAGGACCCTGGTGTGGCCTTGTCAGGATTACTAGGGCTTTTCCTAGTGTAACTTGAAATGAGCGGCAGGTCAAAGGTAAGGCAGTGGAACGTGTGGTAGCTGCGGTGACTGCAAAGTTTGGGGCAGTGACAATTATAAAGATTGTGGTATGGGCTGGCTTTCCTTAACAGCATTGGAAGCCTTGGAGGAAAAAAATGATAGGTTCAGGGAGGCCAACTGCCAACTCAAGGCCTACTGTGAAGACATTCCTTGAATTCCTGAGTGACACATAATTTGCTCCTATGTGTATAATGTGTTTGTGTTTGGCTTTTTCTTCCTGTTTGATTTGCTTTCTATTTTTTACCTAGTACTTTTGCACCTATGCTCTTAAGCAAGACTGGCTTTCTTAATAATAAGTGCACATTCCCTCTGAAACAGTTTGTATAAAATATGGATTAGCTTGAATGTTTGGTATTATACATCTGTAAAATGATCTAGTGTTTCTTTTTGTGGAAAGCTTTTTTTTTTTTAAGTTATTTTCATCAAAGTTAGATAGCCACATAGCTTAATGAGTCAGAGAGCTCCATAAGGTTTTGAAAATAAAAATCCTGCATTCTTCCTCTGGCTGCACCCTGCCACTGCCCACTCCTCAAAGGCAAACACATTTTCTACCTTTATCTGACTATTTTGGTATTTATGTCCATATTCCAAATAGCATGCCTCATGCTTTTTAGTTTTAGGTATCAGTTATGGATGGATAGATCCATAGACCATTTGGCAGGGGCTTTCTCTTTCACACACCAGACCACCGAGCTCTGTCTCTGTGTACTGTTCCTTCTCCATTGCTCTGGGAGGTCTGGTTGGCTCTGCCACAGCCTCTGTCCTCCTGTGTCCCACAGTTATTGGAAGTTCTATGCAGAGGATGGCAGGACATTCCAGAAGCCAGAAATCAGAATCACACAGCTCTCAAGGGCATATATGGTGATTCTCTTTGTTCAGGCATCAGAGGTGATTTTAGCAGCTACACAGAAACAGCCTACTACCAAGAGCCTTCCCAGAGAAAAGGGCCACCCACACCATCCTGCTGCTGGGTCATTTTAACCCCATATCCTAGAGTTAAAGAACTAAAGGAAGGAGGAAAAAGAGAGAAGAAAGTAGGAGAAGGAAAAAAGAAGAAACAACACATGAGAAGAAACCAGCAAAAAAGCTCTGGCAACATGAAGAACCAGTCACAATGGAGCTACCACAGAAAATTCCAACCATAAAGCAATTGTGGAAATGACAGAAATGGAACTCAGATTAAGTATGGCAAATATGACGATAGGAAAGGGAAAGTGGAAAACCAGCCGAAAGAAGTCCAAAACTGTCGTAAGAAATTAATGAAGTTAAAAACAGTCATGGAGGATCTGGACAAAATTAGAAAGGATATATACCAGAGCTTAAAGAATTGAAGGAGGCATTTGGGAAGTTTCAAAACATAGAAGAAAGTTGCAACAATAGATCAAATCATGGCGAAGAAAGAATCTCAGAGCTCGAAGACAAGGCTCTCGAGCTAACCCGATCATTTAAAGAGGCAGAAAAGTAGAGAGTAAAAGCAGAGCAATCTCTTGGAGAGTTACAGATAACACAGATGTTCTCTCCCTACTCTTGCATCCGACTTGCCCGTATGACACACATTCCTTTTCCCATCTTCCCAATATGACTATGTCACACCACTGGTCAGATTAGTAAGTCATGTTCATATTAGAGTTCCTAAGTAAATGCTAGTCATAGCTAAGCATGAGGTAGACTACAATTTCTTTCCCTCCCTTGTACAATTTTTGGTTTTCCTGGAGTTAATAATCAACTAATTACAGAGTATTTGTTTGCTAGGTACTTGTTAATAATTCAGTCCCTCTCCACTACTCTACAAATCTCTTCTCAATACATTCAGATGTATCAGGATTCTTATCAATGTCATCTTCATAAATAAACCTCCCCTAGAGCCACGTGAGCTCTTCAATCTGACTAGGTGCCCACTACACCTACT